CCCCCCCCCCCCCAGAAAAAAAGACACAGGCAGCAACACAAACCTAAAAAACATTTTGCTGCTTCCCAACTTTACCTGGAACAGCTTTAAAAAGTTTTCAATGGAGATCCACTTTACCTAGCGGGCACGACCTCTATGCACACTGATATAAATGTTATACACTTAGCAAAAGTTATTCTCGTCCAATGTCATAGCGCAGAGAAGACGATGAGAGAAGACACGTACCAGCTGAGAAGGCGTGAATATTAAGTGCCATGTCCTGCTCTTCGTTGTCTGCCACATCCAGCAGGTACGCCCGGATCGGCCCTTCGGTGGCATCGGCAGAAAAGTCTAAGACCACAACACCCAGCACTGTGAGAACGATGCCGATTGGCTGTTTATCCGGAACATCCCCAATGGCCAAACCTGCAGAAGAGAAGAGCGAGCGGTGATCACATGGCAAGGCACTCGATGCAGTACACATGAAGCGCCTATACACCGGATCTATTACAGCAAACCTGTGCTAGGGATATATAAGGAAAGCAACATGATCACTTGAATACCCCCCACCAAGCACCACATATCTTTTATTCACTACCCCCCTGCATAGCCCAGCCACCAGGAGGGAACAAAAATACCCAAAATGTCAAAGTATGAGGGAACGTTTGATTCGCTCCCCTTTCCCCCCTATGGATGATGGATGATCAGGGGTTGGCCCAGTAATGTCACATGGGGGTAAGGAGGAGAGGTGGGCATAAGCAAAAACCTCTAACAGGCCCAACACCAAACAGAATTGGGGGCTGTCTGCAGCTAAAGGGCCACCTGAAGGACCAATGCCTGAATCTGGCACTGGGTGGGGCCAAACTTGGTAAGAGTAAAGGTAAGATGATTGTAAAGACCAGAAGGAGAGAACAGTGGGAACTACGCCTAATGGTTGAAGTCCACGAAAAGGAAAACTCTAAGAAGAATAGTTTTGGCTTTTCCCAACAGATAAGACGTCTATTTTCCTAGGACAGTAGCAAAAAACTGAGGCATGCTGGGTAGAGTACAAATATTTTGTTTGCCAGTGTCCAGTTCTCCCATAGGTGGCAGTATAACCCAACCATTCTCAACCAGGGACCATAGGATGCCTTTTAGCTTGGTCAGCGGTGCCTTCAAATTTTCACTAAAGGGGGATAGGGGGATCCTAATGTGAAGGGTAAAGTTTTTGATGTGAAGTGTGCTTCTGATGTAAAGGGGGCATCTCATGTGAAAGGCTGCTGGGGGGCTACTCTGATGTGATAGGGGCTCCAGATGTGAAAGAGGGCTCTCATGTGAAGGGGGCTCCAGATGTGAAAGGAGGGAACTCTGATGTTAAAGGGGCCTAGCACGTGAAAAGTGGGAGGGGGAAGACTCTGATGTGAGGGGGAAGACCTCTCATGGAAAGTATGGAAACTCCAATGTAAAGGAGGCCTCACATGTGAAAGGCGGGGAGGTGTACTCTGATGTGAAGGGGGCTCCAGATGTGAAAGGGGACTGGACCTCTCATGGGAAGGGTAGAAACTCTTATGTAAATGGGGCTCCTGATGTGAAGGGGGGCCTCTCATGTGAAGGGTGAAAACTCTGATGTGAAGGGAAACTCCAAATGGTCTTTTTTTTATTTTTGGCTGTTGCCTGCCTGTGATCCCCTCTCAAAATCCATACCAGATGCCTGTCTAGGATAATGGTTTGGTATGGGGGGAACCACATGTGCTTGTTTTACATACTACACTGGAGTGCCATGAGATTTTGCATACTTTTAAATGATGCCACGACTGAAGAAAGGTTGAGAAATTCTGATAACCCGATGGTGTGGACTTCCTGTGTCCTTTAATGGACAAGAGAAAGAAAAAGGTATCTTATAAAAATGACTCCAATCAATGCAGTAAATAAATAGCCGAGATGATGAAAATCCCGTGTACTACATCCAATGTCCTTAGCATGTTCTTATGCGGTGTGTTCAGTGAGTCACTAATAGCAGGAAAAGACATCGATCTGTCACACCGTACCGGTTATTTGTTGAGGGGAAAAACAAAAAAAAGAGAAAGATTTCTTCCCACACCAGGCTGGATTCAGGTCTTAGCGAAGAACAGAGAATGTGAAAGGAGATAATATTGGAAATAATACTGGAAACAGGAAGTATTGTTTGATATGCATTAAAAGGAAAAATGGCTCACAACAGGAAATGTCTCCCTGTGAACAGGCTCCTAGAGAGTTCTCAAGCCAAGCGCTGGCAAAAAACTTCCTGAGCTCTGCAAGACACGGAACACACCGTGCAAGCAAGTATGGGCCGCCCGCCATCCAGGTACCGCAGAGCATGATGGGACAGAGAAAACTTCCTATTAAGGACATTGGCTTGCAAAAAAAACCATAAAGCTTCTCTTACTGAGCTTTTGCCCTTACTGCAGTCAATACAATAGCCATAAAATATATAAATATATACACATACATACACACACACTTTTTTAATATTATTATTATTATTAGTTTTATTATATATAAAACTAATAATAATAAAAATAAAATAATTTTAAAAAAAAGAAAATAAATATATATATTTTTTTTTTCTCATTATTTTTTTTCAATGTCAAATGTCACATGAAATGCTAGCTCTTATTATGTACCCTAAAGATGTAGTAATTTTACGGTAAGGAAAATACAGCCAGCATAATTAACAGAGTCTGTCATTATATTAGCTTCACGAAACCCTCTTCCGGGTCACATTAAGAAGACGATCTTGTCTGATCCTGGAAGCTAAGCAGGGTCAGGCCTGGTTAGTAGGTGGATGGGAGACCATCTTGGAAATAATGGGTGCTGTAGGCTTGTTTTTTGGTTTTGGCATTTTGTACAGGTGGGCACCAGCCTGGCAACAAGAAGTTGACTGAGCCACAGGTGGCCGATGTCGGGCTCTGATACTTTGCACAATACTGGTGTCCTAAAAGCTGGCCATGCACTATGAGATTTTTCCTGTTCAGCCTCGTGGGGCTTTAGTGTCCTGATAGCGGCAGGGTTTGCTGCTGTCAGAACACTTGAACAGTGACTGCAGCTGACTGGCCACAGACGCCGTTTGGCTGAACATTTTCGGAACAGCTGCTTCAACAACAATCCATTGAAAAAAAAATCGACTTTTGGCAAACAGCGGCGTCCCTGCGGGGGCCAGACATTGGTCGAATTGTGACCGAGTCAGCAGGACTCAAGCTTCAGATTGGAAGCTTCCCGATAGCAGGAAAGAGCAAAGTGATGATTTCATTCCCAGGGCGGGTTTAATAACTAATAACAAAGTTAAAGTGACATTAAACCCTCAGATTTTTTAACATAAAACAATACTGTAATGTGCGCCTTACTGTAATCCATGGTTGTTTCCCTTCTCTTTGCCGCTCTTCCTTTTAAATCCTCATGTCTTCTCATGCTGGGCAGAACTTCTGTTTTGCAGCAGACTGCCTTGTCTCTGGAATGGATACATGGTGTCTGTGTGCAGGTTCACAACCTGAGCCAGCACTACAGGAAGAGGCACTCAGCTGCAAAGGGAAGTTCTCCCCAAGCATGAGAACAGATACGGATTTATAAGGAAGAGCAGCAAAGAGAATCATTGACAGGTTAAGATGCCGGAAAATATAGAAAGCCTCAAAAATGTCAGGTTGGCTGCAAGGTACAAGATTCCCTCCGTCTAGAATCAGTATAAATAATCAGTATAATAATAAACGTTTGCTTACCGATAACGGAGCCATTGAGGAAAAGTGCAACTCCCAGGAGAACCCCGATACACAGGGCGAGGATGAAGGGCCGCCGGCGGCCCCATTTAAGTGTGCAGCGGTCACTGGCCGAGCCAATGAGAGGAGTAAATATCAAACCAAGGATGGGGCTCAGGAACCATGTCAGGCTGTAGTACTGTTCAGGAAGACCTGTGGAGAGATAAGACATTGTCGTTATTGTAGACTGCTGGTAAGGATGGAGAGATAACAGACCCTATTAGTGAAGACTGAATACAAACATACACTCTATATGACCAAATGTTTGTGGTCACCTGACCAGCTCACCTATATGAGCTTGTTGGACATCCTACTCCAAAGCCATGGCCATTAATATAAAGTTGGTCCCACTGTGCAGCTGTAACAGCCTCAACTATTGTAGAAGACTTTCCACAAGATTTTGGAGGCTGTGTGTGGGAATTTGGGCCCATTGATTGGGTCAGGTGCTGATGTTGACCTAGCTCACCATTGGCATTTCGAATCATACCAACAATTATCAGTAGGGTTGAGCTCAGTGCTCTGTGAAGTCCACTCGAGTTCCTCTACACCAAACTCATCAGGCCATATCTTTATGAAACTGGCTTTGTGCACAGGAGAAGGTCAAGCTGGAAAAGGGCCACCAAGTTGAAATACAACAGACTAACAGACCAAAATGTACTTGGATGTTCTAGCATTCCCTGTACCCTTCACTGGACTGGTGAGCTCATCTCTGTCACACTGTTCTCTCCTACTATCAGCATATCCTTTGTCAACACATGAACTGATTAGCTTGTGCAGTTTTTCCCTCTCCCAGTCTGAACTCTGCCATACAGCAATTGCAAGACACTGATATCAGGTACTTACTGTGCACTAGTTGCATTTAAAGAATATACATCTAAGGACGTATTGTAGATCCAGCTTTAAAGCATGTGTCCACTTTTTCACAAAAAAATTAAAAGGAGAGCGAACTCACAACCCATGAACACCTCCCCCGCCCCCCACTGTAGTTATCTGAAATGATGACCCACGCCAGCCTGTATAATGGTCCCAGCACTTAAAAACCAGCCTCCGAGGTGATGTAGTAAAGTTTTCAAGTGTCGGGCATGTTATACAGACTGATGAAGGTCATCATTGCAGATAAGTGCAGCGCCAACAATTTATTTAACCCTAACTTATACAATGAGTAGCTTCTCATTTCTTAACCAGCAACAACGTCAGTAGACGTATACTGTGGTGGTGGAAAAGATGTAACTTTTGTTTCAGAAGGGCCAAATTATCGTCCAGCATCCAGCAAAGAAAACAACTCGGGAGAATGCTGAAGTTACCAAAATTGGGTTAAGAACTGTATAACGCATTATTAAAACCTGGAGGGATAGTGGAAGTATAAAGATTGGACTCTGGAGCGATGGAAAAAGGTCATGTGTTCTGACGAGTCCAGATTTCCCTAGTCTGAGAGTGATGGGCACATCAGGGTGAGAAGAGAGGCGGATGAAGTGATGCAACCATCATGCCTAGTGCCGACCGTAGAAGCCTGTGGGGGAAGTGTTATGATCTGAGGTTGCATCAGCTGGTCAGGTCTAGGTTCAGCAACGTTATGTGCCCCAAACATGAGGTCAGCTGCCCACCTGAATATACTGAATGACCAGAAGGACCTCACAGCCTCCTGAGATCCAGCACAGCCCCTCTGAGACCCTGCACAGCGCTCCCGATACCCTGCACAGCGCTCCTGAGATCCTCCACAGCGCTCCTGAGACCCTCCACATGAGACCCTCCACAGCCCACATGAAATCCCCTGCTGGAGATATCAGGCTGCCATCCTGCAGCAGCACAGAGAATGTAGCTCCATTGTTCTGCATTTCTCATGGTATTATTCTGCTTTGCTGTATAATGCATTACTGGGATTTGTAGTCCTCTACAGACAGTTGCCATTGCTGTATAATGTATTGCTGGGATCTGTAGTCCACTATAGATGATGGCATTATTCTGCATTACTGTATAATGTATTGCTGGGATTTATATTCCTCTGTAGCTGATGGTGTAAGGACCACTTAGTAGAATTTGCTCACACACACAACAGGTTTGACTTGATGGACTTATGTCTTTAGTCAACCTCAAATACTATGTAACTATGTATTGTTCTGCATTGCTGTACAATGTATTGCTGAGATTTGTAGTCCCTCTGCAGCTTGGAGTTAGCGGCAGAACTACCAGGGTAGCATTGTTTGCAGCTGCAACCAGGGCCCTAGCACTTCGCCACTGTCCTAAATTGATTAGTCTGTACTGTTTTAAACAAACTATCACTTGACACACAAAAAATGTGTTGGTAATTGGTATCGAGGACTTGAGGAAAAGTATTGGTACTCATACTCGGTCTGGATAAAAATGGTATCGGTCCATCCCTAACATATACTGTCGTATTACAGGCCGTATGAACGCGCTACAAAACGCTCTACGGCCAAAGAAGTACAGGAGCTTTTTTGGGGCGTTTTTGTCGCGCGTTTCCATTGGGATACAGCCAAGAAGCCCTCGGAAACGCGCGTTTGCGAATCGCGGTAAAAACGCGCGACAACCGCGCATAATCGATACGCCTAGGTGTGAACCCAGCCTAAAGGGTCTTGGCTGGGGTTAAGAAATTGAACATCCACTCTCGTAAGAGTGGGGGGTCAGGAGTACTTCCTTTGGTCCGGATCTGGAGGGTCCCTGTGCCTCCTTATTTTAATGGGTCTACCTGCCCTGGTCATAGGCTGGGAAGGCAGGGAGCCTTGTCACCTGCAAGTGCTCGAGTAACACTATGGGCGTGGGACCCCACTGTGTGAAAGGCAATCAGGCCACAACACCCCTTGCTTTTTCTGCACTACGCCTCTTGAGCTAGGCCTTTTGGCCAGAGCTCTTTTTCTACTAGGATGGGTCTCCCCGCCAGCCCTGAAGTCTATGGGGAAGATGTGAGGCCATCAGGTTCCTTCCTCCCCTGAACTGGGGGGTTTCCTTCAGAGGAGCCCCGAACCTAGTACTCAGAAGTCAGCTTTATTTGAGGAATGGGTCCATCTGGCTTTGGCCAGAGAGTGCTCTGCCCCTGTCAGGAGCCTTGCATCTCAAGAGGTCAGCGAAAGGGCCCTGTCTCTTCGGGAGATGGACCATGAGACATACCCTACTGCACATTTTTGTGCATGTCTTCACATGCACTTTTTTTGTTCACAATGGCGTTTAGTTTTTGCCCACCCACTGCAGAAAAAAAAATGAAGATTACAAAAAAGTGTTTTATATCTTCAATAAACTTTATTCTACCAGCACAAAACAGAGACTCTCCACCCCGATGCCTCTCCCTAACACGTTTCGCCCCCACCTGCAGGAATCGGTCGAAATGTTATCCATTGGTGACCCAATCTCCTCAACAGAAGTTGATCATTAGAAATTACCCCATCAATCCTGTCCCCTCTCCCATACCTCTCTAATCTTACCCATCAATGAATGCTCCTTCCCCTCCGCTGATACCGATGTACACAGCAGCGCAGCCCTGCGCTCTGTATTTTAAATTATACTTGCACATGGCGAGCACTCATTGGTCAGTGTGCTCCCTGGACTTGTTGCTAAGAAGTGCTTCAATTTGGTCAACGCAGTCAGAAGCTCTTCTCACTGGTCAGCGTGGTCAGGTGATCGCGCTAACCAGTGAATGCTCGCCATTTGTGAGCAGAAATTAAAATACAGAATGCAGTGCTGCGCTGCTTTAACAGGTGTATGATTGTATAGCGGCAGCCGTGGAAGGGAAGAAGCGTCACCTGCCCATGCTGACCAATGAGAAGCGCTACTTGTTAAGCGCTTCTCAATAGTCAGCGTAGCCAGAAGCGCTTCTCATTGGTCAGCGCAGTCAGGTAAGCACACTGACCAACATGTGCTCACCATTTGTGAGCAAAATTAAAAATACCAAACGCAGGGCTCAAAATTAAAAATACCAAACGCAGGGAAAAGTCGTTGACAGGTAAGAGCAGTGTAGGGGGCAGATTGTAAGGGGTAATTCCATTTTCCCAAATTCACCTGGGAAGGTGGAACTACCCTTTACACGGTTAGATGTTCATTTGAAAACGATCATTTTCAAGACTGAACAAATCGACGATCAACTTCTACTGAAGTGAGCTGAAGGATAGAGAAGAAGGAGAATTACATTCGAACAGTGAATGTGGTTGTCAAGCAAGAAGAAGAAAAAAAAAAAAAGTTATTGCAATGCACAGTATGTGTGCTAGTAAAACATTCCTCCAAAAGTAGAATTTTTGAACTTGTAGGCCACATTCACACTGCCGTAGTTTTTTCCCCAAATGCATCATATGCAAAGAAATGGCTCCATACACATAGCTGCGTAAAGATGCACAAACAATAATTGGAACCGGAATGCGTCCGGGCTGGGAATTTGTGTATTTTACGCGAGCGCATACACACATTCAGTACATTAAAGTTTCTGTTAAAAAGTATGCGTTCTGGGATTGCATAGAGTATGTGCATATCCGCATTTACAAAGATGCGTACAATTTTGCTCTTGCGTTGTGTGTGAATGAGGCCGTACTTAAGCATTGCCTCCAGAAAAAAAGATCATGCAAGATCATGGTTGCAGCAGTAGCAGCCATGTCTCGGTACAACCACTTCAAGATGAAAACCTATATGTACGTCCAATGGTCCTGAAGTGGTTAATAACTTGGATCAGCCAATATCGGGGATCACTACAACTCCAAACCTTCGGCATTAACTGATGGCTATTGCGGCTCAAAACTCCAACAAAACAAGTTTTGGCTTCACATACACTTTAAAGTCTTCTGTAATTCTTCCCATCAAACGGTGAGAAATGTTTCTTCTCAGACGGACTTCTGTTGAGTTCGGGGAACAATGACCGCTCTCTTAATCTCAATCAGATCAAGCAATATTTTATCTCAAAACAGAATTAGAATTCCTGCCGTTCGGGAACGCGTCGTTTTTTTCCCCTCAGGTCTGTTGTGATGCCGCTTAGTTTGTTTTGTGGGTTTTTTTTCATTCCCGGCCAAGTCTGGCCTCCATTGAAAAGGGCAGCGACGGAGCCTTCACCTTTCCAGTGAGAAAACGGAACCAGGGCAGCACAGGAACAAACATAACGGCCTCATTTCGGCTGTTGTTGACAACATTCCATAGGAAACGCTATTATTTTGAGACTT